GTTGCGAGTTTGACACCCCTGATCTCTTTGGTGCTCCCACAGGTCCCTTCCTTGCTGCGTCTCAAACGCTGCCCCAACGTGACTTTCGCCGGGGTGGACAGCCCCGAAGATGCGCTGGCTCACACCTATCAGGAGCTGTTCCACAGTGGAGGCTTTGTGGTGTCCGACGACGACGTGCTGCAAGGGATGAGCGTGGGTGAGTCTGCCTGCTTCGGAGGGCCGGTTTGCACATTCTTCAGCTGGGGAATTCTGGGAGTTGAAGTCCACCCATCTTAAAGCATGCTGGCTGGGGAATTCTGGGAGTTGAAGTCCACCCATCTGAAAGTAGGCAATGTTGAGAACTACTGGACTAATGGTGGGGCCCTGCTCTTTTCTCTAGGGGAGCTGAAAGATGTGATCAAAACTCTGGAGAAACTCAACAGTCATGGACGATGGAAGTGGTTTCTCCACTACCAAGAATCCAAGAAGCTCAAGGAAGATGCCAGGTGAGATCAATCAGAACGTTGCTGGAAGGGACCTTGGAGGTCTTCTAGTCCAACCCCCTGCTCTGCCTTCCCAAGAACCTCCTCCTTGTTCTCAGTCCTGCTTCCCCATTGGCTCGCACCCCACTGTACCGAATCTGCATACCATATATATATATATTTGTGGATAAGCCCATCTGCAGCAGAAACTAACTCTCAATTTTTTTAACCAAAATCCCAACAAAAATACACGACAAATTGATTTATTTGTGGGTGGCACATTTTTCGTGGTATTTTGACTAAAAATTTACGGTTCTGCTTATCTGCCAATGGACTGAGACGAATATAATTTGGGGAGTATATTTTGGCCCTTAAAATTCTTGGCTAATCTGCGGGTATATACGCTAGTCCTCATTAAACGAAGAAGCACATTATACGAGGACCACGTTCATTCAGAAAGGGGTTCATTTATTCATTCAAGCAGGGCCCAATACTGGTCTGTGAACGAGGCAATTATATTTTATTTAACCAGGGTTATCTGTAAGCATGTTGTGGGAAGCTGGTCAACGCAGTTTCCACGGGCAATTTTATTTTATTTAGATTTCTTACACCCTGCATCTCCCCTCAAGTCTCTGTGCAGTTTACAACAACATCATAAGGCCATATGAATCTATCAATAAAAGCAGAATTTGAAAACTATAGTAAAAACAAGTTAAAACTTAGAAGCGAAAACAAATCAGATTAAAATTCAAATGCTAGATGATAGTAATAATAATAATAATAATAATAACAACTATCAGCACCAGCCAATTTGAATGTTCAGTTGACTGAGGTTCATGTCTAATGAATAAAAGATAATAATAATAATAAAGTTGGAAGAGACCTTGGAGGTCATCTAGTCCAACCCCCTGCTCAGGCAGGAAACCCTATACCATTTCAGACAAATGGCTGTCCAGTCTCTTCTTAAAAACTTCCTTGACTTACAACAGTTCGTTTAGCGACCGTTCAAAATTACAATGGCAGCGAAAAGTGACTTACGTCTGTTTTTCATATTTACGACCGTTGCAACATCCCCATGGTCGCGGGATCAAAATTCAGATGCTTGGCAACTGACTCGTATTTATGACGGTCGCAGTGTCCCGGGGTCATGTGCTCCCCTTTTGTGACCTCACGACAAGCAGAGTCAACGGAGGGAAGCCGGATTCGCTTAACGACCGTGTTGCTAACTTAATAACTGCAGTGATTCGCTTCACAAATCTAGGAAGAAAGGCCGTAAAAGGGGGCAATATTCATGTTTTGCTTAGCGATGGAAATTTAGGGCTCAGTTGCGGTCGTAAGTTGAGGACTGCCTGTATTATGGTGGGTGGAAAGTGGGATATATCCGTGGACAATATTGCTTTCCCCCCCCGCCCCCCCCCAAGAGGGAAAATGAGCTGGGCTGATGGACTGGGGACCTTTTGTGAAATTGCCACCCGCTCAAGGGATCACCTCTTGGTCTTCTTTCTTCCCGCAGGGGGGATCCTGCCGCGTACACCAAGGAGTCGGTCCTGAAATCGTGCCAGGTGGCCAACCTCGCCGAAGTCCTCCACTACCATGTGTGCGACTCCAGATCCTGCACGAGATTCGAGCGCCTCAACTGCCTCTTGAACCTGCAGATTCAACACATCACCAGGCGGTTCGCCGTGTTCCTCACAGGTAGGAAAGGGCACCCCGTCGTTGCCATCTGCCCCCCAAAAAACGTAGGAAGAATCTTGACGGCGTTGGCCGTGCACGTCGCTCGTCTCTTCCGGAACACCCTTCCGTTTGCAGCTACAGGCAGTCCTCGACTGAACGAGCGGAACCGAAATTTTACATCACTAAGCGAGACACTGGCTACGCGAGCTTTGCCCTATTTTAGGGCCTTTTTCTCGCCACAGTTGTTGAAGTGAACCCCTGCAGTGGTTTAAGTCAGTCATACAGTTGTTAAGTGAAGCTGGCTTCCCCTATTGGTTTTGTTTGATAGAAGGTCCGGGCAAGAGTAAGTTTGGTGTAACTTCAAACGGTCACTAAGCGACCGGCCCCCTCCTAAGTCCATTGTAACTTTGAACGGTGGCTAAGCAACCCGACGTAAGTCTAGTTTGATTTATCTAGTTGGATTTGGCGTCCAATGCCATCCTGGCCTCTTTTCTGGGCTCATGTGGCCTGTCTGGGCTTGAGATTCCCTTCTGTGAAATGGGCGCAGGTCTGGAAGGATGACTTTTCTTGTTCCGTCCAGGGGAGTGACCTCTGCTTTCGCCTTTCAGAAAACGCCAGCGCCTGCCGAGAAGCCTTAGAGGACAAAGGGATTCTGCGCCTGGACATTACCGGCTTCATCACGGCCGCTCCAGAGATGGTGGCGCCCTTCAGAAGCGGCTTCTGGTAAGGAAAGCGGCCGGATCCAGAAAGTGGACAGCGAAAAGAAGCATCGATGGCGGATTTTGGAAGTCAACTGAGGATTTTATTTTATTTTATTATTTTATTATTCTATTTTATTTTATTATTTTTATTTTATTTTATTATTCTATTTTATTTTATTATTGTATTGTGCTATATTATTATTTTATTTCACATTTATTTTATTTTTTATTTATTTTATTTTATTATTCTATTTTATATTATTTTATTTTTTTATTTTATTATTGGATTGTGCTTTATTATTATTATATTTTACATTTATTTTATTTTATTTTATTTTTATAATTTTACACTGTTTTATTTATATTTCATATATTTTATTTTACGTTATTTTATTTTATATTTTACATTTGATTGTATTTTATATTTGATTTGATTTGGATTACTATTTTATATTAATTTTACATTTTATTTTTTATTTATTTTATATTTTATTGTATTATGCTATATTATTTTATTTTACATTTATTTGATTTATTTTCTTTTATAAGTTTCTTTTACATTTTGTTTTATTTTATATTATTTTATTTGTATTTCATATATTTTATTTTACATTATTTTTTATATTTTATTGTATTATTTTATATTTGATTTGATTTATTTTATTCATATTACTATTTTATATTAATTTCACATTTTATTTTATCATTTTATTCACTGCCCATCTCCTCATGAAACAACTTTTTAGTGGCAGTTAATTCACCCCCCCCTCAAGCAAGAAACTGGGGAGGAAATAATTTCTGGAGGAGGAAAACTATTACAAATTAGTCCTCGACTTACAACAGTTTGTATAGTGACTATTCAGTTACAAACACCAATGAAAAATGTGACTTAGCACCAATTTTTCACACTTAACAACCGCTGTAGCACCTGTCACGGTCACGTGATCGAAATTCAGTTACATTTGGCAACTGACTCGTTTTTATGACGGTCGTGGCGTCCCGGGGGAGGGGGTGTCACTTTTTTGCGACCTTCTGACAAGCAGAGTCAATGGGGGGAAAGCCGGATTCACTTAACAACGGTGTTACTGGCTGAACAATTGCAGTGATTCGTTTTAACGACGGTGGCAAGGCAAGTCGTAAAATGGCAAAACTCAGTGAACGACTGTCTTCCTCAGCCATGGAAATGGCGATCAACTATGATTGTTATTTGAGGACTATCTCGATGTTTGTTCCAGGTAACCAGAATCGACGCCTTCGGCCTCTTGGCAACCGGCCAGGAATCGCGACGCCAAACCGACTTTTCTCTTCGTTCCGGACGTTCCCGGAGACCCCGGAACTCTCGTCCCGCTCACTCCAATTCAGCAGCCGCCAACGCCGTTCGAGGTCAAGCAGACGGTCCTCACTTCCCCCGGCCGGTTTTATTTAAGGGCCGTGGCAAGGATTTGGGGGGGGTGGGGGGAAAGTGGGGGGGGGTGTTTTATTTAACCACAACGTGGAACCTCAGAAGGAAAATGCGTTTTGTGCTCGTCCGTTTCTCTTGCGTAGGAAAACGAAGGCTGGGAAACCGGGACTCTCAATTGTGCAGCTCAGTTCTCTCATAGGAAACATTTAAAAATCTGCTTACTTGAAGGGTTAGGGATCGGTTGACCTCAACCCAACACTTCAGACACGAGACACGGTTGGCGCACTCCAAAAGTGTGTGTGTGGTGGGGACGGGGAGGTTTAAAGTGTTTCACAGGCACTGTGTTAGGCAGGGGTGTCCAATTCCCCAGCCAGTGGACTTCAATTCCCAGAATTCCCTACCCATTGCACTTCCAACTCCTAGAATTCCCCACCCATTGGACTTCAATTCCCACAATTCCCCACCCATTGGACTTCAATTCCCACAATTCCCCACCCATTGGACTTCAATTCCCAGAATTCCTCACCCATTGGACTTCAACTCCCAGAATTCCCCACCCACTGGACTTCAATTCCCAGAATTCCTCACCCATTGGACGCCTAACTCCCAGAATTCCTCACCCATTGGACTTCAACTCCCAGAATTCCCCACCCATTGGACTTCAACTCCTAGAATTCCCCCCCCATTGGACTCCTAACTCCCAGAATTCCCCACCCACTGGACTTCAACTCCCAGAATTCCCCACCCACTGGACTCCCAACTCCCAGAATTCTCCACCCATGGCACTTCAATTCTGGCAGCTGAAGTCCACCTCTCTTAAGGTCGCCCAGTCTGGACACCACCACCCCTGTGCGCTGCGCTGACTTTAACACAACTCCTCTGCAATTGTGCTCCTCCAGGGTGCACGACAACTGTGCTGCCTGCGTCTCCTGGAGTTTTAGGATTCAGGATCTTTTGCAATGATCATTTACCTTTACGAGGGGTGTTTTGCGGGGGGGGGGGGGGGGGGAGGGGAGGAGGAAGAGGGGTGACAAAATAGATAATCCGAGTTAGTAGCACTTGATTTCTCTTGTAGATAGCATGGTTTGTTTGGGTTCTGGAGTTGGGCCTCTCTCTCTCTTATTAAGAGAGGGGTCTGTTCATGGTATTGCAATAATAAAAGGGTTTTTTTTTCTCCCCCACTCATTTGCTGCACTAATAAAAATTAGGCCTTGTAAGATATCTTCGCCCATCTTTGGGGAACCAAAAAAAAAAAAAAAAGAATTCTTTTGTAACTAATCTTTATAAATAAAGTTGACTTGAAAAGGCTTAGTGGAATCATTCAGGGGGGAAGAGGACAATCCCCCCCAAATAATAATAAAATAAAACTCAACCAAAGGTGTAAAACCACACCAAGGGCGTTACAATGGACAATGGGAACGAGGGGAAAAAAATAATCTAAATTTTATATTATTGTGTCAGTTTGGCAGTTGGGGGCTTAACTATATTTATTGATTCGATTTTTATCCCGGCTTTATAACTTTATCGGTTACGGCGGTGAACGTAAAATCATATTCTTTCCTTCCTCCTGTTTTCCTCACAACCACCCTGTGAGGTGGGTTGGGCCGAGAGGGACTGGCCCAAAGTCACCGACTGGGTTTCGCGCTAGAACTCACAGGCTTGATTAGTCCAATCGACCTCTTGGTTGTGATGCGTCTTTCTAGGAATGGAGGACACACACACACACACAGGTGGGCCTCCTTTGCTTGTGTGGGAGGACAAGGGCTTCTTCCGCTGAGATGTTTGTAGTGGGAACCCACAGGAGTAGGACTGGGGGGGGGTTCTTGCAGACATTTCGTGACCTGACTAGGGAACAACCTGAGTGTTAGAAGGGAGTGGAAAGGAGGAGGACTCTGGGTGCCCTCCGAGCTGGGTGGTTTTCTTGCAGATGTTTCATGACCCAACTAGGTAATGCCATCAGTGCTAGAAGGGAATAAGGTTTAAGGAGGAGAGGAGGAAGGGGGGGAGGAGAGGAAGAAAGAGAAAGAATGAAGGGGGAGGAGGAAGAGAATTGTGGGGTCCTTGGTGCTCTTGGTCGCTTCCTTGCGGATGTTTCATGACCCAACTAGGTAACATCATCAGTGCTACACAGGAGTGAGTTTTAAGGAGAGGGGGAAGAGGAGAGGGAGAGGAAGAAAGAGAAAGAATGAAGGGAAGGAGGAGGAAGAGAAGAATTGTGGAGTCCCTGGTGCTCCCTGAGCTGGGTAGTTTTCTTGCAGATATTTCATGACCCAACTAGGTAACATCATCAATGCTAGAAGGGAGGGGGTTTGAAGAGAGGAGGAGGAGGACTGTGGGGTCCTTGGTGCTCTCCGAGCTGGGTGATTTCCTTGCAGACGTTTCATGACCCAACTAGGGAACAGCATCAGTGGTAGAAGGGAGGAGGGTTTGTGGGGAGGAGGGGAAGGAGCTGGAGGAGAGGAAGAAAAGGATTGTGGGGTCCCTGGTGTTCTCTGAGCCGGGTGGTTTTCTTCCAGACTTTTCTTGACCCAACTAGGGGACATCATCAAGGTTAGAGGGAGTGGGGCGTGTGGAGAGGAGGAGGAGGAGGAAAACGACGACTGTGGGGTCCTTGGTGCTCTCTGAACTTGGTGGTTTCCTTGCAGACGTTTCGTGACCCAACTAGACAACATCATCAGTGAACTGGTTTTACTTGCACAGCACAGAAATAATGCAGCACCTTTTCCCCACTCAACCAAACCTCAACCTCCCTCCACCCAATACCGCAAAAAAACCAAAAAAGGTCCCAAAACGCAGGCGACGGAAGACATACACGCGCGCGCACAAACACAGAGAGGCCTTGCCCACGCCAGCGTTTTCGTGCTTGCACCGTTTTTTTGTTTTTTGTTTTATTAGTAGCACTTTTAAAACACAAACAGAAGCCTCGCGGCGCAGTTGTGTCCCAACAGATGTAAACAAGTTTTGAGAAGCTTAGGAGGACGGGGAAGATTTAAGGAGGGGGGGGGGGTTAAAACAAAAAACCAACAAAACTCAAAATTGTCGGGGACTCTTTTTTACGAGCTGCCACTTCAGGACGGGCAGCCGGAAGGCAGCTTTTGCCAGGAGAGCAGATTTCGATGGGAACTTTTGGCTGGCATGAAATGGGATATTTTATTTTATTTTATTTGGGGGGGGGGGGAGAGAAAGGCTGATATCGGTGCGTGGACCGCCAGGATTTTGGGGAAAAAGATGGTAGGCTGAGGGGGGGGAGGCTAGGAGAGACCCTCTGGCTGGTGGTCCTTGTGTCCCGTTCTCCCCCCGCCCCACTCTGGAACCGGCCGGCTTTCTTTCTTTCTTTCTTTCTTTCTTTCTTTCTTTCTTTCTTTCTTTCTTTCTCTTTCTTTCTTTCTCTCTCTCTCTCTTTCCTTCCTTTCTTCCTTCCTTCCTTTCTTTCTTTCTTTCTTTCTTTCTCAAAGGGCTGAGAGCGGAGTAAGCAAAAGAGTTAAAGAGAAAGTTGTGGGTGTGGTAGCACCTGCCAATCTGAACACCGCAACCTGAAATGGACACATGATTATATCGGAAAAGAGAGAGAGGGAGGGTTTTGATCAGCGCAGGGTCCTTTCAATCTCCAGAGATATGATTCAGGAAGGGCAGAGAAAGAGAGAGGGATGGAGGGAAGGAAGGAAGGAGGGAGGGAAAAGAACAGGGCCTTACAACGGTGAGCTGGGTATGGCGCTCAGCTTAAAAGGTCCTCCGTGCGGGGGGGTGCCCCCCAGCCAGCGACTGAGAGCCAGGGGGTGGGGCGGGGCAGGTGGGGGGGTTGAGAGACGTCCGGGCCCCGTTCACTGCTGGTCCTCCTCTCCGTAGATGTCGTTCTTCTTCCGCTTCATCTCTTCGAAGTCGAACTCGGAGCCCATCATCCGCTTGTAAATGTCTTTGATGTCATCGCAGGTGGTCTCGAAGTGGGTGGTGGGGTCGTAGGTGCGGGAGATAAAGATCTGGCCGGAGGGGAAATAAAAAAGGGCAGAGGGTGCCTGTCACCATCAGAGTTTGGGGGTTTTCTTTCATTCTTTCATTTCTCTTTTCTTTTTCTCTTTTCTCTCTCCTTTCTGGATCTTATTTCCCTCTTCCCAAATCCATCCTTCCTTCTCTTCCTCCCTGCTTCCCTTCCCCTTCCTTCTTTGCTGCCTTCTTCCCTTTTTTCTCTCCCTTCCTCCCTTTCCCTCTTCCCAAATCCTTCCTTCCATCTTTCTCTCATCTTCTTCCCTCCCTCCCCTCCTTCTCTTTCCCTCTTCCCAAATCCTTCCTTCCAATCTTCTTCCTTCCTTCCCTCCCTTCCTTTCCTTCTTCCCAAATCCTTCCTTCCATCCTCTCATCTTCTTCCCTCCCTCTTTCCCTTCCTTTCCTCCTCTTCCCACACGTTTCTTTTCTTCCTTCCTCCCTTTCCCTCTTCCCAAATCCTTCCTTCCATCTTTCTCTCATCTTCTTCCCTCCCTTCCTCCTTCCTCTCTTCCCAAATCCTTCCTTCCATCTTTCTCTCCTCTTCTTCCCTTCCTTCCTCTCTTCCCCAATCCTTCCTTCCATCCTTTCTTCTCTCATCTTCTTCCCTCCCTCTCTCCTTCCCTTCCACCCTTCTTGTTCTTTAATTAGGGGCAATTAAACGTGACAAAGATGAAAAACACGAAGCATTAAATTTAGAAACAAATGAAACGGAAGGACCAGTGCATAAACGGGGTCCTCCCCCCCCCCCAGAAACAGTCCTGCCCCCCCCCTTTATACCAACCTGGCTTTCTCTGCCCAGGTCAGTTGGGGAAAACATGTCGCTCACACTAACAAATCTACAAGGAAAGAGAAAGAGAAGATCAATCCGGGAAGATTCCAGCCAACAGGGCGGTGAGAGCCGACCCAACAACAAAAAAATAAATAAATCTGGTTTTATTTCAAAGGCACAAACTGTGCATATTGGGATTTCTGTCTGATGCCTCTGGTGGGGTTGGAGTTTGGCAAAAAAACCCAAAATCTGGTACATTTTGATCTCATGGGGTTAAGGCAGGGGTGTCCAGCCTTGTAAGACTGGCGGACTTCAACTCCCAGAATTCCAGGCAAACTTCAACTCCCAGAATTCCTGGCAAACTTGTAAGATTGGCAGACTTCCAACGCCCAGAATTCCTGGCAAACTTGTAAGATTGGCGGACTTCCAACGCCCAGAATTCCTGGCAAACTTGTAAGATTGGCGGACTTCCAACGCCCAGAATTCCTGGCAAACTTGTAAGATTGGCGGACTTCCAACGCCCAGAATTNCCCAGAATTCTTGGCAAACTTGTAAGACTGGTGGACTTCCAACTCCCAGAATTCTTGGCAAACTTGTAAGACTGGTGGACTTCCAACTCCCAGAATTCTTGGCAAACTTGTAAGACTGGTGGACTTCCAACTCCCAGAATTCTTGGCAAACTTGTAAGACTGGTGGACTTCCAACGCCCAGAATTCCTGGCAAACTTGTAAGACTGGTGGACTTCCAACTCCCAGAATTCTTGGCAAACTTGTAAGACTGGTGGACTTCCAACTCCCAGAATTCCCCAGCCAGCATAGCTGGCTGGGGAATTCTGGGAGTTGGAAGTCCACCAGTCTTAAAGGCACCTTTGGGACCCAAGTCTTAAAGCTGCTATAGCTGGACATCCCTTGCGGTGTGTCGTCTTTCTTCGCCACAGAGGACTGAGCCTCGGGTGTTTCTCCCCCTCGGCCTGTGGACTTCAACTCCCACAATCCCCCAGACTGGTGTGTGTATGTGTGTATGTGTGTGTGTGGGGCAGAGTCCCCCAACTCGGCCCAAACCCAGCGGGCGGCCTTACTTCTCCTCAATGGGCTCCAGCAGGTCCATGGCGGGCCTGATCTCCTTGTCGGGATTGTTGGTCTCCACGGTGGTGCTCACGATGGCGATGTACTTGCCCTGGGCCGCCACGTTGTGGGCGGACGAGATCATGCAGACGTAGATGTCTTTAAAATAAATAAAAAAATAAATAAAATAAAAGACACAACGGGTGGCAAAAAAACCTCACAAACACACACGAAGGCACGGAGACAAAAGCCGCCAAACGGGCACGGCTTCGGCCAAGAGATTCCTCCCCACGCCGCGCCCCCCCCCCGAGAGCCGTATTTGCTCCTCCTGCGTCTTACCCGACTTCCGGTTGACTTGGTTCTGGGGAATGATGATCTGGCAGGAGTTGGCGTCGTTGGTGTTCCGGATGGGGTGGTTCAGGATGCAGATGACCCGGATCACCTTGCCCATTTTCTTCACCCGGTCCGGGACGTAGCTGGGGTCGCAGATGAGCTGCNAAGGAAGGAAGGAAGGAAGGAAGGAAGGAAGGAAGGAAGGAAGGAAGGAAGGAAGGAAAGAAGGAAGGAAGGAAGGAAGGAAGGAAGGAAGGAAGGAGAAGGACTGTGGGGTCCTTGGTGTTCTCTGAGCTTGGTGGTTTTCTTGCAGACATTTCCTGACCCAACTAGGGAACATCATCAGTCTAGGAGTGGGGTTTGCCAGGGTGGGGCATGGAGGAGGAGGAGAGGAAGGACTGTGGGGTCCTGGGGGCTCTCTGAGTTGGGTGTTTTCCTTGCAGATGTTTCCTGACCCAACTAGTGCTGGGAGGGAGGGAAGAGGAGTAAAGAAAGGGAGGGAGGGAGGGAGGGAGGAAGGAAGGAAAGAAAGAAAGAAAGAAAGAAAGAAAGAAAGAAAGAAAGAAAGAAAGAAAGAAAGAAAGAAAGAAAGAAAGAAAGAAAGAAAGAAAGAAAGAAAGAAAGAAAGAGGATTGTGGGGTCCTAGGTGTTCTCTGAGCTTGGATGTTTTCTTGCAGACGTTTCCTGACCGAACTAGGGAACATCATCAGTGCTGGAAGGGGGGTTTGACGGGGGGCATGGAGGAGGAGGAAAGGGAGGACTGTGGGGTCCTGGGTGCTCTCTGAGCTTGCTTGTTTTCTTGCAGATGTTGCATGGACCAAACTAGGTAGCATCATTAGAAGGGAGTGGGGTTTGCAGAGAGGATATGACAAAGGAAGTGGGGTTGTGAAGTGGAGAAGGAAAAGGGGAGGAGGAAGAGGAGGGGGGAGGACGAGTACTCTGGGGTCTTTATTGCTCTCTGAGCTTGCTTGTTTTTCTGGCAGACGTTTCATGACCCAACTAGGTAACATCATCAGTGCTAGAAGGGAGTGGGGTTTAAGAGAAGGGGGAAGAGGAGAGGAAGAAAGAGAAAGAATGAAGGGTATGGAAGAGGAGGAGGAGGAAGAGAAGGAGAAGAATTGTGGAGTCCCTGGTGTTCTCTGAGCTTGGTGGTTTTCTTGCAGACATTTCATGACCCAACTAGGTAACATCATCAGTGCTAGAAGGGAGTGGGGTTTGTGGAGAGGAGGAGGAGGAGGAGGAGGAGGAGGAGGAGGAGGAGGAGGACGACGACGACAACTGGGGTCCTTGGTGCTCTCTGAGCTTGGTGGTTTTCTTGCAGATGTTTCATGACCCATGTAGGGAACATCATCAGTGCTAGAAGAAGAGTGGGGTGTGGGGGGGGGGAGTCGTCGTCTCTGGTGCTCTGTGAACTTGTTTTCTTCCAAACATTTCCTGACCCAACTAGGTGACGACATCAGTACTAGAAGGGAGTGGGGGGTCTGCTCTGTTTATACACCAATGGCTTGCCCTGTCAGTGTTGGTGGGGTGTTCCTACAGGTCCCTTGATTAGGTTGTTGGTTACTGACTGTTTGTCTAAGGATAATTATTTACCGCTGAGGATGCTCCCTAGCTGGGTCACGAAACACTCGCAAGCAAACGGCCCAGTTTAGAGAGCACCAAGGACCCCCCCCCAGTTCCCCCTCCTCCTCTTCCCCTTTTCATTCTCTTCCTCTGCACAATCCCCCCCCCCCAAATACACACACTCCCTTCTAGCACCCGTGAAGTTGCCCTGATTGGATCACGAAACAATCCTCGATCTTCCGACCGATTCCTCAATGTTAAAGAATCCTTGGGGCGCTTGGGGCGCTTGGGAAAGAAGTCGCGCGGTTTTTACTCATAAGAGGCACCGAAAAGGAGGAGGCTGAGCTCCTGGTTGTAATCCCGTTTCGGCTCTTTCCCTGGAGCAGAGGGGAGAAAAATTTACAAAAACAGCCTCGCTTTACCTCGCCTTCCGATTTCACGCCGACCACTTTGCCGTTCTCTACGACGATCTCTTCGATGGGCTTGTTCAACATGTAGGTCCCTCCGTAGATGGCACTGAGCCTGCCGACAAAGCAAAAATATCCCCAAAGTTGGTCCAAAGTCAAATGATTTAATTGCACCTTCGGCCGACCAAGCCCCAATGTGGACAATGTGGATCTAATTATTATTTTTCTGCCTTCAAGTCGCGTTTGAATCCTGGCAAAACCCACCTTGCAATTTTCTTCAGCAGCGGTTTTGGGAGGTTTACCGTCTAAGGCAGGACTAGAACTCGGGGTCTCCTGCTTTTTAGCCTGGGGGATGCCTTAACCGCTACACCAAACGGGCTCTGTTTGCCAGACTTCTTTGCACGATCTCCGTTTCCCCAAACTGGAACTTTCCCGCGCCGTCCCAACTGGGGGGGGGGAGTTAAAAGAGGCAGCAGCCTAGCATCCCTACATAGTCATAAGCGAACTAAATCTAATCTCCTTTGAATTTAGCCGGCCCTTATCTGCGACAACCTGCCTCCAGAAGTTGTGAATCTCCGACACTGGGAGTTTTTAAGAAGAGACCGGACAGCCATTTGTCTGAAATGGTGTAGGGTTTCCTGCCTGAGCAGGGGGTTGGACTAGAAAATCTCCAAGGTCCCTTCAAACATTATTATTATTATTATTATTATTATTATTATTATTATTATTATTATTATTATTATTATTATTATTATTATTATTATTATTATTATTATTGATCATCGCACAGTCAGCCAGATGTTCAGACCGGATTTGGCATTTTGTCTACCTATCGAGTCCTTCCCAAGAACCTGGGAGAGGCAGATGTGGATGTTTGATGGTATTACAGATCTCGTCGCAGGATGGAAGCGGTTCCTAGTAAGGCCGCCTTTTGCAATTGACTGATGGTGAATTTGTCAATGCCGATGATGGTGTCCAAGTGGTGCTCCAGTTGTTTTGGGATTGCACCCAAGGCGCCTATGACTATTGGTACCACCCTTGCTTGCCTTTGCCACAGTCTTTCTATTTCTATTTGTAGGTCTTTGTATTTTGTTATCTCCTCCAGTTCTTTCTTGTCTATTCTGCTGTCTCCAGGCACTGCCACGTCCACTATCCAGACTTTTTTGTCTTTTTTATCGACAATTGTTGCTGTTGTTATTATTATTATTAAATAAAAGGCTATTAATTGGACCTGGCAGCCCAAAGAAGTCCGTCTCCCCCGCCCCCAGCGAAGGTCTCACCTGGCGAATCCCTGGGGAAGCTCGCCCAAGCCATAGAGAGGATAGAGGTAGGGACTTTTGCCATATCTCGCCAAAGACTCGCTGTACAGTTTAATCCTGTTGATGGTTTCTTGGCAAGGTTGATCTAGGTAGCTGAAAGAAAAAAAGAAAAAAGAAAAGAAAAGAAAGATAGGAAGGAAGGAAGGAAAGAAGTAAGGAAGAAAGAAAGAGAGAGAGAGAGAGAGAGAGAGAGAGAGAGAGAGAGAGAGAGAGAGAGAGAAAGAAAGAAAGAAAGAAAGAACGAAAGAAAGAGGGAAGTTAGAAGAAAGGAAAGGAAAGGAAAGGAAGTTGAGATCATGGGTGGGCCAATATAACCTGGGGACTACAACTCCCAGAATTCCTGAGCCAGCTATACTGGCACAGGAATTCTGGGAGTTGAAGTCCCCAGGTTGTAAAGTCACCATAGTGCCATGGTTTAGATCAGTGTTTCTCAACCTTGACAATTTTAAGGCATGTGGACTTCAACTCCCAGAATTCTACAGCCAGCATTGCTGGCTGTGGAATTCTGGGAGTTGAAGTCCACATGCCTTAAAATTGTCAAGGTTGAGAAACACTGGTTTAGATGAAGTGAGGGAAAACCCAGGAGAGGTGGGGAGGGGTCTCTCTCCCAGGGGAGGGAGGGGGTCCACTTACTCATCCGTCCTGTACAGGGCCAGGGCGTGGCCCGTGAAGTCAATCACATCCTGGCCGAGATCAAACTTCTTGTAGACGTCGCGCATGGTGGTCTTCTTGGGGTCCACCCCTTCGAAGGTGCGGGCGTCGTTCTCGTCAAAGTTGGCCACGTAGACCAGAAACTTCCGGAAGCGTCTTTTCTCAAACAGGCCCATCAAACCTTCAAAAGGGAAAACAGCCCTCTTGAGTGAGGAGGAGTGACAAATGCGCACTTCTATCCTGGTTTGTTCTAGAGCAGGGGTAGGCAACCTGGGCTCTTTTATGACTGGTGGACTTCAACTCCCAGAATTCCTGAGCCAGCCACGCTGAGGGGAAAGGGAGAGTTCCCAAGCTGAGCCATGCTGGCTCAGGAATTCTGGGAGTTGAAGTCCACAAGTCATGAGGGGGCCATACTTCCTCCATTGCTGGCTCAGGAATTCTGGGAGTTGAAGTCCACGAGTCATAAAAGAGCCAAGGTTGCCTACCCCTGTCCTAAGTCCTCCTGTTCTAAGCATTGAGCCTCCTAGATCAGGGGTCCTCAACCTTGGCAACTTTAAGACTCGTGGACTTCAACTCCCAGAATTCCTGAGCCAGCATGAGGGAACTATGGCCTCCTCATAACTGGTGGACTTCAACTCCCAGAATTCCTGAGCCAGCCTGGCTCAGCTTGGAAACCTCTCCCTTTCCCCTCAGCATGGCTGGCTCAGGAATTCTGGGAGTTGAAGTCCACCAGTCATAAAAGGGCCAAGGTTGCCTACCCCTGTTCTAGAGCTTGGAGAGGAGCAGCAATGGGGGCTCCGGCCAGTTCCCCCCAACTGTGGGCTGGAGATTGTTTTGGAGTATAGGGAGTCCTCAACGTATAACCATTCGCTTAGTGACGGCACTGAAAAAAAAGTGACTTAGGGCCGTTTTTCACACTTACGACCACTGCAGCGTCCCCACGGTCACATGATCAAAACTGGCCACTGGGATGTATTTAGGATGGCTGCCCAGTGTCCCGGGGTCATGTGATCTCCTTTTGTGACCCACTCACCAGCAAAATCAACGGGAGAAGCCTGATTCACTTAAGAACGGTGTTAAAAACTGCAGTGATTCACTTCACAACTGTGTTAACTGCAGTGATTCATTTCACAACTGTGTTAACTGCAGTGATTCACTTCACAACTGTGTTAATTGCAGTGATTCACTTAACAGTGTTAATTGCAGTGATTCACTTAACAGTTAACTGCAGTAATTCACTTCACAACTGTGTTAACTGCAGTGATTCACTTAATGTTAACAACTGCAGTGATTCACTTCACAACCGTGTTAACTGCAGTGTCACTTAACAGTTAACTGCAGTGATTCACTTAAGTGTTAAGAACTGCAGTGATTCACTTCACAACTTGTGTTAACTGCAGTGATTCACTTAAGTGTTAACTTAATTGCAGTGATTCACTTCACAAGTGTTAAAAACTGCAGTGACTCACTTCACAACAGTGTTAAGAACTTAACTGCAGCGATTCACTTAAGAACAGTGGGCAAGAAAGATCGTAAAATGGGACCCAGAGTCACTGAAGAACCGTCTTGCTCAGCAACAAAAATCTGGGACTCAATCGTGGGCCGTAAGGCGAGGCCTACCAATGCGATGATCCGGCAACCCGCATTGTGACCCCCTGGTGGGATCCATCGAGAGAAAGACCCATCGGCTTACTGGAGGCGAGGGCTTCCGCTTCGGTCGACGGGACTTTGTAGATCTTCCCGCCCTTGTAGACGAAGCTGCCTTCGATCACCTTGAAGTCCAGGTAGCGAGTCACCTCCGTGTACAGCAGCATCTTGACCAGCTGGCCTGCAGGGGGAAAAAAGAAAAAAGGTCCCAGGATGAATCACCCAGTATGAACCCAGGCAGGCAGGCGAGGAATGCTGCAGACGAGACGCCGCCGGTTCAAGAACTCTGGGCTGGTGGGGGTCCAGGAAGGGAGCCTTCTCTGTCTTGGCCCCCATTCTGTGGGATATTCTCTATCCCGCCCCCTCCCCAAGAGGTGAGGCTAGCCCTCGCCCTCCTGGACTTCCAGAAAAGACTCAAAACGTGGCTGTCGTGGTTCCGACAGAGGAGACTCTTCAAAGAACTTCGAGGCATTGTTTACCTTAAAGAACCTTTATTCGAGTAGCATGGCATCGGCACGTACATAGGCCAAGCCAAAATCTGGATTCCCCTCTCCTGAGCACATAGTATCAAAGCACAATTCCCTCCTCCAATTCACAGTCATAAATCACATTCCCCAATTAGCTTGAAATGCAGGCTTCCCCTCCAGTTCTTCCACCCGCCATTTCTTATCATCTCTTATTTCAAAAACCTTGGTTCTCACGCTAGCTACAGTATTGTTATGTCTAGCTAAACTCTCGTGCATCTTCCTCCTACCCCCCCCCCAGTATCATTTAATTCTAACTCTAATTCTAAGAGTAAAACATGAGAAGGAAAATGGCTGCATCTCCGTCTGTTGTCCAAGCCAGAACATCCGATGTTAGCAGCGTTGACAATGGCTTGGGGTGTCCAGAGGAACATGCAGCCGTGGGGCCGATTAGCCCCCGGAAAGCCCCACCTCCTTTTATGCCAAAAGTGCTTTTTTCCAGGAGATAATTGGACTTTCCTGTTTCCTATAGAACTTTTTAATGAGTCTGTTGGCTTTCACATTGCTAAACTTCACCCAAGTGGCTTCGGACAGCCAATATCCCTTCCATTGTACTAAGTACTGCAATTTCTCTTTAAAAATTCTAGAATCAAGAATACGCTTTACTTCGTAGTGGGTCTGACCCGCCACCCCGAGGGGTCGGGGTTCCACTTTAAGACCTTTCCCTAAGAAGGCTCAATTGTGGTCGTAAGTTGAGGACCCACCTGCATGGTAACTAAAGGAAATCCATTACGCAGCCCAGAGGGACGGCTGCCGTGTGTGCTGCAGTATTTTCAGAGGCCCGAGACACAAAAGAAGTAGAAAACCCACTGTTTCATTTCTAGCAGGAGAAGAGAGCAGTCAAGGCCGTTTCCAGCCACTCACCACAGGCCATAAGAAATTTGGGGATCAGATCGACGTTCCAGTCTCTTCCTCGGCCCATCGACTCCGGGACGACTCCTGGCATGGAAAACCTTTTGTACAGCTTTTAAGAACAAGAGGAGGTGAAGTTAGGAGGGGTTGTGCACTTCACCCACCCAGGAAAAATTCTGTAAACTGACCAGAATCAGAAGGGAACCAGAAGGGAGGGAGGGAGGGAGGGAGGGAAGGAAGGAAGGAAGGAGAAAGAAAGAGGGAGAGAAAGGAAAGAAGGAAGGAAAGAAAAAGAAAGAAAGAGAAGGGAGGAAGAAGGAGAGAGGGAGGAATGAAGGAAGGAAAGAAAAGAAAAAAGAAAGGAATGGGAAAGAAAGGAAAGAAAGGAAAGGATGAAGGGATTGGAAAAGAAAGAAAGAAAAAGAAAGAAAAAAGAAGGAAAGCAAGCAAGAAAGGATGAAGGGAATGGGAAAGAAAGAAGAAGAAGAGAAAGAGAGAGAGAGAGAAAGAAAGAAGGAAAGAAGGAAGGAAGAAGAAAGGAAAGGAAGGAAGGAAGGGGGAGAAAGGGGGAGGAAGGGATGAAGGGGGAAAGGAATGAAGGAAAGAGAAGAGAAAGAAAGAAAGGAATGGGAAAGAAAGGAAAGAAATAAAGGATGAAGGGATTGGGAAAGAAAGAAAAAAAGAAAGAGAAAAAGAAAGAAAAGCAAACAAGCAAGAAAGGATGAAGGGAATGGGAAAGAAAGAAAAGAGAAAGAAAGAGGAGAAAGAAAGAAAGAAAGAGAAAGGAAGGAAGGAAGGAAGGAAGGAAGGAAGGAAGGAAGGAAGGAAGGAAGGAAGGAAGGAAGGAAGGAAGGAAAGGGAAGGATACTCACATCTTCCAGGGGCGTAATAGAAGCACTTTCCCCTCCATAGTAAGCGTTGCGGTCCATGTGCAGGACCTTTTTGCCATTCACGGACATGATGCCAGAGAGGATGCATTCCTGCAGAGAGCAGATATCAGAACAAAATCAAGCGGGGGGCTGGACTAGAAGACCTCCGAGGTCCCTCGCAGCTCTGTTATTCTACGTTATCCTTTGCCTTCCTGCCTTCGGATGCGGCCCCCACCTCAAGCCCGGCCACACACTTCCCTCTAGAAAGCACAGCTGTTGTGTTGGACTGTCGTCCAGGGGCTCTTTGGCCAGGGTGCCAAGAGACTAGCTGGACTTGGATCGTGGACCGGAAGAGAGCAAGGTCAGACCCTCCCCAGCAATTCACAGAGTGTTCCTAAACCAGGGGTAGGCAACCTTGGCTCTTTCATGACTCGTGGACTTCAACTCCCAGAATTCCTGAGCCAGCATGGAGGAACTATGGCCCCCTCATGACTCGTGGACTTCAACTCCCACAATTCCTGAGCCAGCATGGGGGAACTATGGCCCCCTCATGACTCGGGGACTTCAACTCCCAGAATTCCTCAGCCAGCCTGGCTCAGCTTGGAAACCTCTCCCTTTCCCCTCAGCGTGGCTGGCTCAGGAATTCTGGGAGTTGAAGTCCACGGGACATAAAAGAGCCAAGGTTGCCTACCCCTGGCCTAACTGTTATACAAATAATTGCTTCCATCCAGCAAGAGTCCGTCCCTCAGTGAACAACAATTTAATTTAATTTAATTTAATAATTTAATTTATATACCGCCCTTCTCCCGTAGGACTCAGGGCGGTGCACAGCATATTAAAACAGACAAACAAAATACATCAAAGAACAAAAAACCCCCATAAAACCAAATTAAAAGCCAAATATTCGAAGCTGTGTGTCAATTAAAATTTTCATTAAAATCATCCCTACCTAAAATCCTCCCTAGGTCAGGTCCGCTTGCTGGAAAAGCCATGTCTTGAGGAATAAAGGAACTACACTTGACTTACAAACATTGAGGAATAAAGGAACTACACTTGACTTACAAACATTGAGGAATAAAGGAACTACACTTGACTTACAAACATTGACTTACAACCTTGACTTGCAACAATTCATTTAGCGACCCTTTGAAGTTTTACAACGGCACTGGGGAAAAAAAGGGACTTAGGACCGTTTCAGCACCCCACACGATCAAAATTCGAACGTTTTATTCCCAACAATCCTTCCACTGCAACTTCCTACGCTTATTATTTTCCAAAACAAGGTCAAGAAGCTTGATATATTAAATATCAAACTAGGTGTGTCCTAAACAGTGAGAACAATTAACCAGTGGAACTACCCGCCACCAGAAGCTGTGGATGCTCCAACACTGGAAGTTTTTAAGGAGAGACTGGACAGCCATTGGTCTGAAATGGTATAGCGTTTCCTGCCTGAGCAGGGGGCTGGACTAGATGACCTCCAAGGTCCCTTCCAACATTATTATTATTATGGATCATCGCCCAGTCAGCCAGATGTTCAGACTGAATTTGGCATTTTGTCTACCTATCAAGTCCTTCCCAAGGACCTGGGAGAGGCAGATGTGGATGTTTGATGGTATTACAGATCTCGTCGCAGGATGGAAGCAGTTCCTAGTAAGGCCGCCTTTTGCAATTGACTAATGGCGAATTTGTCAATGCCGATGATGGTGTCCAAGTGGTGCTCCAGTTGTTTTGGGATTGCACCCAAGGCGCCTATTACTATTGGTGCCACCCTTGCTTGCCTTTGCCACAGTCTTTCTATTTCTATGTCTTTGTGTTTTGTGATCTTCTCCAGTTCTTTCTCGTCTATTCTGCTGTCTCCAGGCACTGCTACGTCCACTATCCAGACTTTTTTGTCTTTCTTATCGACAATGGTTATGTTGCAGGTGCTTGTCTATTATTATTATTATTATTATTATTATTATTATTATTATTATTATTATTATTATTATTATTATTATGCCTCCATTTCTTTTCTTTGCATGGTGTAAGCAGGAGAGAATGGGAACAATGGCCGCGTTTGAAGGACTGGTTAAGCCTGGGAGTGCCTCCACTGAAATCCCCTGATCCACCATAAATATATTTCTGACGAAGGGCCAGTTGGATTAGGATGCCAACTCGCCTTGCTGCATTTTAAACGTTCTGTATCTAGGATGCTGAAGGTACAGTAATGGCCAAAATTGTGGAAATCTTTTGGGAAAAGTGTATTTTTGAGGTTTGATGGCTAATAACCCTTTTTTTTAGTAGTACCATAAAATTATATATCAATGGATATATAATTATATATCAATGGAAAGATAATTTAATCAAGAATGTAATGCAACCAAGTTTGTTCAATTATCTGTACTGTGTTCTGTGAAAAGTTATAGCCAAATAACCAGAATTTTTGTATTTTGTATTTTTTGTATTTTGTGTATATTATTTGTTTTTAATATGCTGTGAACCGCCCTGAGTCCTATGGGAGAAGGGCGGTATACAAATTAAAATAATAATAATAATAATAATAATAATAATAATAATAATAAAAAAAGGAAGCACAACTTGCTCAGGTTGATCTCAGGTAGCTTTCCTTCCTCTGATTGTAGCCAATCAGCATGAGTGTTTAGAGAGCCAATCAGGTGTCATCTTGTTTTGACAATGAGCCAATCGGATCACAGCAGGATCCAGTTATTGATGTCACTTATTGAAGCTGAGAGGAGGACATTTGTCAGTGTGTTATGTGATGGCTATCAAGTTGGTTGGGGTTTTTTTTGCATTCTTTTAATTTAATTTAATTTAATTTAAACATGGATTTATATGCCGCCCTTCTCCCTATAGGACTCAGGGCGGCTTACAGCATATTAAAACACATAAAACATCATCCCCCATAAAAACCTGTTAAAAACCAAATATTTTTTTTTCGCTGTATAATTAATTAAAATTTAAATTAAAATTGTCCCTATTTAAAAATTCTCCCTTTCATTTAGTGAGCTTGTTAAATGTAATAAAATTAAAGTAATGGTGCAAAGAGTTGACTGGTTGCTCAGAAAGTGATGTAAAATAGTATTTATTAAGTGAACCAGGCTACAGTTATAAAGAAATTAGAAGAAAAATGGGTGGAAACTTAACCAAAGGTGGCATTTCTACTGTACACTTTTCCCAAAAGGTTCCCACAATTTTGGCCACTACTGCACAAGCAGAAGGTGGACGGTAGCGGCCAATGGGAGCAAAACAATCCCAATTTATGGCAGGGCTCTTCAACCTTGGCAACTTTTAAGACTTGGTGGACTTCAACTGCATCCAGTTTTGGTCACCACGATGTAAAAAAAAAAGTGGAGACTCTAGAAAGAGTGCAGAGAAGAGCAACAAAGATTGTCAGGGGACTGGAGGCTAAAACATACAAGGAACGGTTGCTGGAATTGGGTATGTCTAGTTTAGTGAAGAGAAGGACCAGGGGGGACATGATAGCAAGGTTTCAATATCTCAGGGGCTGCCCCAAAGAAGAGGGAGTCAAGCTGTTCTCCAAAGCGCCTGAAGGCAGGACAAGAAGCAACGGGTGGAAACTAATCAAGGAGAGAAGCAACCTAGAACTAAGGAGAAACTTCCTGACAGTGAGAACAATTAAACAGTGGAACAACCTGCCTCCAGACGCGGTGAATGCTCCAACACTGGAAGTTTTTAAGAAGAGACTGGACAGCCATTTGTCTGAAATGGTATAGGGTTACCTGCCTGAGCAGGGGGTTGGACTTGATGACCTCCAAGGTCCCGTCCAACTTTATTATTATTATTATAACTCCCAGAATTCCTCCGCCCTCCTCCATTTAGGAGGAACCCCAATTTGACAGCCCCCACCCCCAAATCCCTCCCAACAGAGTTTCAAGCCAGCGTTGCGAAGTTAAAAAGTAGCAGAGGTGTTTGCTAAGAGCAGGCAAGCCGGTTCCTGCCCTTGGCTCTTTCCTGCCTCCTACTTGAAAATCAAGCTTTATAATTAAGGCCGAGGCTTATCTTGCAGCTTAAGCTAAAGCCTACTTTTTTTTTTTTGGCTCTGCAAGCATCCCAGACTGTTGCTGGGTGCAGGAAAGCTACAACTTGGCACCGTGGCGGGCATTGCAACAGGAAGATTGCTCAACTGGAGGTGGTAAAGAATTATGCCCGAGCAAAGCCAGGGAGGGAAGCGTCTGTAAAATCTGATTTGCAAGAGTCTCTCAACCAGACTGCAACCCATTTGTAGGCTGGGATCCTTCCATTTAAGAGGGGAAATCAATTTTTGCAGCAGAATCCAGATGGATCCGAATCCCCTTTTCCGATCAAAGCGAGATGCAGGTACAGGTCGTCCTCAACTTACAGCAGTTCATTTAGTGACCGTTCGAAATTACAACGGCACTGAAATAGAATAGGGTAGGTAAGATAATAGAATAGAATAGAATAGAATAGGATGATTAGAATAGAATAGAATACAATACAGAATGGAATAGAATGGAATAGAATGGAATAGAATAGAATAGAATAGGAATAGAATAGAAATAGAATAGAAGCTGGAAGGGACCTTGGAGGTCATCTAGTCCGACCCCCTGCTCAGGCAGGAAACCCTATACCAGGGGTAGGCAACCTTGGCTCTTTTATGACTGGTGGACTTCAACACCCAGAATTCCTGAGCCAGCATGGCTCAGCTTGGAAACCTCTCCCTTTCCCCTCAGCATGGCTGGCTCAGGAATTCTGGGAGTTGAAGTCCACCAGTCATAAAAGAGCCAAGGTTGCCTACCTCCGCCCTATACCATTTCAGACAAATGTCTGTCCAGTCGCTTCTTAAAAATCTCCAGTGATGGAGCATCCACGATTTCTGGTGGCAAGCTGTTCCACTGGTTAACTGTTCTCACTGTTCGGAAGTTTTTCCTTAATTCCAGGTTGCTTCTCTCTCTGATTGGTTTCCATCCATTCCTTCTTGTCCTGCCCTATGGTGCTTTGGAGAATTTGACCCCCTCTTCTTCGTGGCAGCCCCTGAAATACTGGAAGATACTGCGATCGTGTCTCCCCTATTTCTTCTTTTCACACTGGCCACCGTGGCCGCATCCCCGTGGTCATGTGATCAAAATCCAGATGCTTGGAAACTGACATGG